ATGTTTATAGCAGCACTATTTACAATAGCTAAACTATGGAAACAACCCAACTGCAGGCCTCCCCTGGTGGTGCAGGTGGTTGTGCACAAAGATGTGAAGCTGTGCCCAGCCTCTGCAGTGCCGCTTTGATCCGGTGGCACACGAGGGTCCCACATGGTGAGGCAGACCTCTCCTGTCACGCCTGCCGATCCCCTTGGCAATGTATTTCGTCAGTCTGCCTGTTCTGTTCCCCACTCTGCCTCTGGTGAATCCTCTCACCCTCCAGAGCATCTGGCCTGTACCCCGGTTCTTGTATAAATAAATAAATAAATCTTTAAAAACAAACAAACAAGCAAAAACAACCCAAATGCCCCAAAATAGATGACTGGATCAAGAAGAAGTGGTATATATACACAATGGAATGTTACTCAGTTATCAAAAAACATAAACTTATGCAATTTGCAGCAACATGGATGGAGCTAGAAGGGATCATGCTCAGTGAAATAAGCCAGAAAGAAAAAGAAAAATACTAGATGGTATCACTAAATACTAGCAGGAATTTAGAAAACCTAAATGAGGGACCAGGAAAAAGACTGATTATAATAAAGTAAAATCAATATCAACAACAACTATAAACCAGAGACACACTTGTTAAAAAATCAGTCATTTCTCCCCTCCCCTGCACCAATAGACTCATTACTTTTATGCTTATTACCCAACTATCTGATAGTGCAAATTTCCTAGTTGTTAGGATTTGGTAGGTTATTTTGGGAATCTAACAAGGGAATTATTACTAATTTGTAGGGAAAGTTATTTTTTTTCTTTTTTTTTCTTAATCTGTTTATTTATTTGTACAATGTTTTCTTTCTTTTCTCAGTGTAGTCCCCATAGAATTTCCACCACCACTTCCCCTATGCACAGTCTCCATAGTCCCTTGTTCTCATCCCACCCTCATTTTTATTACTTTCCCTCCCCCTCCCCTGCAGAATGTCTCTGATTTATAGTTGTCTGTTTATTTTTGTTTTGTTTTGTTTTGTTGTTATTTTTCCCCTTGATCCACATATTCCTCCTATAAGTGAAATCATGTAGCACTTTTCTTTCTCCTTCAGACTTATTTCATTGAGCATAATCCCTTCAAGCATCATCCATGTTGCTGTGAATGACATTAGTTTATCTTTTTTGATTGCTGAATTGTGTATATATACCACATGTTCTTGATCCAGTCGTCTTTTGGGGGTATTTGGGTTGATTCCAAGTCTTACCTATTATAAATAGTGGTGCAACATTTATAAGGATGCGTGTATTCTTTTGTGTTACTGTTTTTGAATCCTTTGGGTAGAGCCCTAGGAGTGGAATTGCTGGGTATTATGGTAGCTCCATTTTCAGTAGTCTGAGGAACCTCCTTACAGCTTTCCACAGTGGTTGGACCAGTTTGTATTCCCACCAGCAATGTAGAAGAGTTCTTTTTTCATCTCATTCTTATCAACATTTGTAGTTACTAGTTATTTTAATATGTGCCATTCCTACTGGTGTAAGGTGGTATCTCATTGTGGTTTTAATTTGCATTTCCCTGATTATGAGGGATGTTGAATGATTTTTCATATACCTTTTCACCATTTGCATATCCTCTTTGCAGAAGTGTCTTTTAAGTTCTCTCACCATTTTTTGACTGGATAGTTTACTTTGTTTTTGTTGAGTTATGTGAGTTCTTTGTAGGTCTTTGTGATCAGTCTCTTTTCAGTTGTATGAAGTGCACAATTTTTCTCCCAATCAATGGGCCATCTCTTTTGCTGTACAGAAGCTCTTTAATTTGATATATACCCAGCTGTTTATCTTTTCCTTCACTTTCTTTGCTTTAGGTGATGTGTCTTTAAAAAGTTACTGAGATGTATGTCATGTAGTGTTTAGCCTATATTTTATTCTATATATTTTATGGTTTAAGTAGTATGTCTAATTCTTTCATCCACTTTGAGTTAGTTTTTGTGAATGGTGTGAGGTAGAAATCTAGCTTCATTCTTTTGCATGTAACATTCCAATTTTCCCAGCACCATTTGTTGAACAAACTTTGTGCCATGGCATATTTTTTGCTCCTTTGTTAAGGATTAGTTGTCCATAAATATGTGGGTTTATTTCTGGTTTTTCTATTCGATTTCATTGGTCTGTGTGTCTGTTTTTGTTCCAATACCATGCAGTTTCAATTAGTCTGCTTTGTAGTATAGTTTGAAGTCAGGGATTGTGATACTTCTGTTCCCCTTCTTTTCAGTCGGGAGATTTTTGGCTATTCAAGGTTTTTTTGGAATTTCCATATGAACTTAATCAATATTTGTTCTATTTCTTTGAAGAATGTCATTGAAATTTTCATTGGAATAGCATTGAATCTGTAGATTGCCCTTGGTAGTTTGGCCATTTTGATAATGTTAATTCTTCCAATCCATGAACAGGGGATATCTTTTCATTCCTTGGTGTCTTTTCTATTCTTTTAACAATGTTTTATAGTTTTCTTTGTCTAGGACTTTACCTCATTTGTTAGGCTTATTGCCAAGTATTTGATTTTTTTTTTTGTTTCCCTTATAAAAGGGGATTTTTTTTTGCAATAAAACATATTTTATTTATTTTATTTTTTTTTTTCCCAATTCTGACCCCAATCCCTCCCCTCCCGCCCCTCACCCCCCAAAAAGTGTCTCTGGTTCATAGTTTTTTGTTGATTTTGATTTTCACTTTCTTATAGTTATTCATTTTCCTGGTTCCTTATTTAAGTTTTCTAGATTCCTGCTATGAGTGAGACCATCCGCTATTTTTCTTTTTCTTTCTGGCTTATTTCGCTGAGCATGATCCCTTCCAGCGCCATCCATGTTGCTGCAAATTGCATGTGTTTATCTTTTTTGAATGCTGAGTAATATTCCATGGTATATATGTACCACATCTTCTTGATCCAGTCATCTATTTTTGGGCATTTGGGCTGTTTCCAAAGCTTAGCTAAAAAATTCTTCTTCTTCAGATTGTTTGCATATAGAAGAGCTAATGATTTTTGTGTGTTGTGTATCCTGCTACTTTACTAAACTGGTTGATTATTTTCATTAGTTTTTCTATGTAGTTTTTAGGGTTATGTGTGCATATCATCACATCATCTGCAGATAGTGATAGTTTTACTTCTTTCCCTATATGGATTCCTTGTATGTCTTTCTCTTGTCTTATTGCTCTGGCTAGAACTTCGAGTATCATATTAAAATGCAGTGGTGAGAGTGGATATTCTTGTCTTGTTAAAGATCTTAAGGGAAAGGCTTTCAGTTTTTCACCATTGAGAATGATATTGTCAATGGGTTTGTCATATATGGCTTTACTATGTTAAGGTACTTTCCTTCTATCATAAGAATATCGAGGGCCTTTATTATAAATGGATGATGAAATTTGTCAAATGCTTTCTCAGCATCTGTCAATATGATCATATCTTTTCAATTTTTTGTTGATGCGTTGGATTAAATTAATTGATTTTTGGATGTTGAGGCATCCTGTGTCCCTGGAATAAATCTTACTTGGTCATGGTAAATTATCTTTTTGATGCATTGTTGGATTCTTTTGGCATGGATTTTATTGAGAATTTTTTCATCAGTGTTCATTAGAGAGACTGACCTATAGTTTTCTTTTCTTGTGTTGTCCTTGTTTGGTTTTTGGCTTCATAAAATATATTTGGTAGTACCTGTAGGGAGAGAATTTTTTAAATATTCCTAGACCCCAGAAATAATTTTCCAAACCAAACCCAATAGAAATTTCATTTTCAGATAGCAGGGAAACCTGTACATGCAAAAGAGACAATAAACTGAAATGAAAATAATTATAATAATGCATCAAATAGGCAAATTTTCTGTAATAGGTTGAGTTCTTAGATTGTTTTTACTAAGACATCTTTTAATAATTATGAAAATAAAATAATAAAAATATTTTTAGCTTGACTGTCAAGGTTACAATAAATATATTATTATGAAATGTGCACATATATCTCTCATTTAGGATTGGCTATGAAATTCATGTTCTACAATCTCTAGTTAGAATCTAATCTTTTGTGTGCCAGGGTGATTTTCTAAATCCTTTATATGCTTGTTATTTTAATTGACACTAAAATGGCTTACTTTTAAAAAACCTAATTAATTTTCTTAATTTTTTTCTATTGAAAAGTATTGGCCATTGACTGCCGGACCCAGCTCCAGCAAAATGTCGTATCAGGGGTCCCTGGAGGGATGAGGGAATGAGACACAGACTCTTGATCAGGGTGCAAGTATCTCCTTCTGAGGGTCTCAGCAAGTCTTTATTTATGCAGCAAAGCGGGCAGGGAGATTACATTAACATAAGCAATGAAGCAAAACAAAGACAATCATTACATATTTTCTCATGGGCATATGGAGACTCCCTTGGTCTCATACCAAAAAGGGCACGTATTCCATCATCTTAAGAAAAACATCAGGGACAATTAGTTTTCTTGGTGCAACTCATTTTCCCAGCATGATCAATCACCTAAGACAGCACAATATTTGGAAACAATTAATCATTCTTTCAAACTCCTTTATACCAGAATGGGCGTGGATGTCTTATCCTATACTTTGTTGCTTAAAGTAACTCATTTCCCTAGCACTCAAATAGTCTAGCTAATTTATCAATTACTTCAAGGTGGCCTAAAGTAACTCATCAAATCTATTTTATTTCTGCAGAAGTCTAACTCTTAACTAGAAATACCTAACCTTCATACAACCTGTGAACTATTGACCTCTTGCATACACCAGGAAATGTACTGCTGCCACAAATATGTACCCCCTGGGTTAGGCCATGGCTTCCAAGCACAGCTGGTTCAGGGCAGCTTGTTCTCCATAGTTCTCAGGGCCAAAACATTTCTTTCCTAACTATATCTTCAGCAATTTTTCTTTCTTTTGTAATAGTTCATGCGTAAGAACAACAGGGCAATTAACATCTTAATCCGAATTAGGTTTTCACAAGCCAATTTATAACTAACTTATTTTTGCATTAACCAAAAAACAAACAGAAGAGTATTAGTAAGCATTGCTGTGGAAACTCCTGTGTTCACATCTTCTGGGAAGTGTAGAAACTCCCCTCTTCTTGGGAGTCTCCCCCAATGTCCAGACCTTGTCAAGAGACATCATGGGTAGCGCCACCTACAGCAACTGATTAAAATGAACTGTAAACAAGGGAATCAAATTAATGAAACAGACATAACTGTGCAATAAAGAACTTCTGGTTTGGATGTATATAAATATATGATATGTGAACACATGATATATTATGCCTTAATTCTTCATCTTGCAAATATATGTTCTCAAAAGTTCCTAGCCTAGTCTGCATCTCAAGTTAGCTCAACGGATGTAATGAAAAAGATTTCACCATATGAAAGTTGAAATATTGTTATTAGCAAATAAACATCCATTCCAAGTTTGATCCTAGAGCCCGGTGAGCAGGTATAAGGTCAGGGAGAGTACAAAGAGTGGAAGAACGATTATTCTGAGATGACATACAAGCCCAAAGTTACCTACTTGAAATTGTTTATTATTATTTTATTTTTTGCACAGAAGAACTGGGTGTAGGCCAGAGATACAGAGGTAAGGGAATTCACCAGAGACAGAGTGGAAACAGAACAAGCGGATTTACTGAAATACACTGCTAAGGGGAGAAGGGGGCAAGACAGGAGAGGGCTGCTGTGTCCTTTGAGGGTTAGTTTCCTGACCTGGAAGGGAACTCAGGCCACAGTGGTGAGAGTGTGATAGCACTGATACTTAAGCCTTAGGCCACCAGGGGGACTCTTTGAAATTGTTTAAAAAGCCAATGAATGTAAGCCAGGGGAGGTAGATCTCACCCGAACTTGACAACAGAGAAAAGTCAGCAATAGGACAACCAGAACAGCCTCACAGAAACAGCCTAAAAGCAAGCTTTGACTGGTGGCAATTTTGAGAAAATGTTACCAAACTGATAGGGTTCAGACTCAGAAATCCAGACACTGAACTACAAGATGTTTTCCACACAGGAAGTCCTTGAACATGTGGCACCAGCACAGAAGGAAAGGAAGGTTATATAGAAATGCAGGAATAGGGTGGTGTGAGGGGCATGAGGATGGTTTCTTCTTTCTCAGGCCCTAGAAGGCACCAGGCTATAGAGGGGCAGTTGACTCACAGGATGGATTGCTGATGACCTTTCTAATATAGCTGCTCTCTTCTGAGTTCTCAGTATAAAATGGCACCTGGAAGTTCATCAGGCATTGATGCTTCAGCACCTCAGAGGGAACAGAAATATTTATTAAACATTAAGCAGCCCATCACCATGGCCCGAGGAATGTGGTGCTTTAGCTTATGAGGCAGGGATCATGGCATTATCCTTGACTGAGGTTTAACCACAAAAATACCTGTGAGACACAAACAATAAATCTGAAGAAGAAGAAATAAAAAAAATCATCCCTTTTATTACTGAAAAAAAAAAAAATCAAATACTTGGGAATAAACCTAAAAAAAGAGGTAAAGGACCTATACAAAGAAAACTATAAAACACTGTTAAAAGAAATAGAAGAAGACACAAAGAAATGGAAAGACATCCCCTGCTCATGGATTGGAAGAATTAACATTATCAAAATGGCCATCCTACCAAAAGCGATTTACAGATTCAGTGCTATTCCAATAAAAATTTCAATGACATTCTTTAAAGAAATGGAACAATTATTGATGAAATTCATATGGAATAACCAAAAACTCCAATTGCTAAAGCTCTCCTGAAAAAAAAAAAAAAGAAGAGAATGGAGGCATCACACTCCCAGATTTCACATTATACTACAAAGCCATAATCATCAAAACTGATGGTATTGGAACAAGCACAGACACACGGACCAATGGAACTGAATAGAAAATGCAGGAATAAACCCAAAGATTTATGGTCAACTAATCTTTGACAAAGGAGCAAAGAATATGCATTGGAGCAAAGAAAGTTTGTTCAATAAATGGTGCTGGGAAAACTGGGTCTCTACATGCAAAATAATGAAGCTTGACCACTACCTCACATCATACACAAAAACCAACTCAAAATGGATTAAAGAACTAGACATAAGACCTGAAACCATAAAATATATAGAAGGAAATATAGGTGAAACACTAAATGACATGGACCTCAAAGAAACCTTTATAGACACATCACCCAAAGCAGTGATAGTGAAGGCAGAGATAAACAGCTGGGACTACATTAAATTAAAGAGCTTCTGCACAGCAAAAGAGACAATAACCAAAACAAAGAGAAACCCCAATGACTGGGAGAAAATTTTTGCACACAATACTAATGATAAAGGACTGATCCCAAAAAACGACAAAGGGCTGATGAGACTCAACAACAACAAATAATCCAGTCAAAAATGGGCAGAATAGCTAAAAAGAAACTTCTCTGAAGAGGAAATGCAAATGGCCAACAGGCATATGAAAAAATGTTCAACATCACTTGTAATCAGGGAAATGCAAATCAAAACTACCATGAGATACCATCTTACACCAGTGAGAATGGCACATATTAAAAAAACCAGCAACAACAAATGTTGGTGAGGATGTGGAGAAAAAGGAACTCTCCTGCACTGTTGGTGGGAGTGCAAAATGGTCCAACCACTATGGAGAGCTGTGTGGAGATTTCTTGACCTACTAAACATAGAGCTTCCATATGATCCAGCAACTCCACTCCTAGGTATTTATCCAAAGGACACAGAAACATTAATTCAAAAGGGCACCTGCACCGCTATGTTTATAGCAGCAATATTTACAATAGCTAAGCTATGGAAACAACCCAAATGCCCCAAAGTAGATGACTGGATCAAAAAGATGTGGTAAATACACACAATGGAATATTACTCAGCATTCAAAAAAGGTAAACTCTTGCAATTTGCAGCAACATGGATGGCGCTGGAAGGGATCATGCTCAGCGAAATAAGCCAGAAAGAAAAAGAAAAATACCGGATGGTCTCACTCATAGCAGGAATTTAGAAAACCTAAATAAGGGCCCAGGAAAAGACTAATTGCAATAAAGTAAAAATCAAAATCAACAAGCAACTATAGACCAGAGACACACTACAGTAGGGGGGGGGAAGAGAAGAGGAATTAGGGTCAGAAAATGGTGGTGGGAATTATATGGGAATATAACCAAAATGAAAATGCATACATTATGCAAAAATGAAAAATGATGTAAGAATTATATAAAATAAAATAATTCATAAAAAACCCATCTGTGAGAAATGCGTGCTTTGCATTTTCCCCTCCTTTTAAGAAGAAACACAAATTCCAGCTTTATTGAAAAGCATTTCATTTTCCTCCCCAAGAAGGGACATTTCAACCTTCCCCCAGTCAAACAGGAATCCCCTCTCATACCCTCCTTGAACACTTGAGGACACTTGGGGACTGCCAACCACAATCCACCAGCTCCTGCGGCACTTCCCTGACAAGCCCAGTGTGTGAAGCCAGCCCAGCTGGGGAAGGGCAATGGCTGTCTGGGACACAGGGACACAATGAGCTGTGCTGTGTATGAACAACAGGCTGAACCGTGCAGGCCATCTAGTGTACGGGCAGGTACTCACTGTCGTGACAGGGGTTGAGGGCTTGTTTGCAGGACACCCCCCCACACACCCCAAGGTGCACAAATCAATAAAGTCAGAGCCAAGGCCACACAGGTTTGAATCCTGACTCCCTCTCACTCTACCTCTCTGACACTTTCCACATTATATGCTGAGGACACGCGTAACTCACCTCATTCGTGTGAGATGCTCAGCATGGTCTCTGGCTCTTTAGTAAAGGTGATCCCTGGTTTTGGCCTCAACCCCTGGTTTGTTATCAGTGAATTGCTGCCTGTGACATGTGTGTCAGACCCCTGAGATGTGTTCTGCTGAGCACAAATACCTGAAATGGCTCCTTTGTTGGCTTCAAAATTGTCTCCTCTGTGATATATGCAGGGGTGCTCCAGGCCCTGATGTGAGCAGAAGTCTTCTCATCAGTTCAGGCAAAAAGGCAGAAAGGGGAGGGTTCCTTGCTTTTCCCCCAAAGGTCCCCCAACATAATGTCCCTATGGAAAGGGGTTGTAGAGGGAGTTTATCCAGAAGCAAAGGAGTCATCTTCTGTGGTCCTTACTCTCCAGAAATACACTGAAAAAAATATTGAGTGCTCAGACAAAAGACACTTTCATTTGTATAGGATTTTATGTTTCTATGATGTAAACCAGGGTACAATGTACCCCGGGAAATGCTGAGCCTTAGATGCTGATAAAAACCTCTTTTGCTAATTGTTGCTGCCAGGTACCTCCATATACAAAAAAGCTTCAGGTCAGGTTCATCATTTCTGGAGGGTTTGTATTTCTGTATTCTGCATTTTCTTGGAAATATGTGGCGTTTACTGGTCTTAGCGCGTCACTGGTTTTACCAGCACATTTTCCTGAAACTTTAGTGCAGGTGCCAGCATTGCCACCACCACCACCCAGGCATTCCCTTGGCTGCACAGATGCCCTCCTCAGTCTGAGGGTGGCTGGAAGGAACCTCACGCCCTTGTCCATTCTGTGAGGACCTTTGGTCATGTAAGTGCACAGGTGGGTACCCGGAGTCATCGCCACACACAAGAACTAAACAGAGGAGCCCCACTGCCCTCTCTTCCCAGGAAACCCTGCAGAGCTCCCAGAACTGCTCTGCTGACATCCAGAGGAGATCACTGTCATTCTACCCATGAATACAGAGGGATCCAGGGCACCTCCTCTGTTCAACACCCAGATACAAGCCCGAAGCTCTCTGCCTCCACCCAAATCAGCTTTACTGCCAGCACATGGGGGTTGGATGTAACTGGAGCAATGACCTAGACCTTAATGTTGATTGGACCAGTGGACATGCAGAACACTTGATACACCAAAATTTAGGCTGTGCTGTTTCGGGAGTGGGTAGAAGGGTTGCTCAAATAAAGACATAAATGTATTTAAAATAAAATGAAAATTTAAACTGTCTTTTTAACCTTGATTTCTTAAAACAAAGAGAATTTTAATGCAAAGTATAAGGGCATAACTTTAAAATTTAGGACAGGCCTTTTTAAACAGACAAATTTAAGGGGGCGGAGCAGAACATGGCGGCGAGGAGACGCTGCGAGTAAGATCTCCCATTAAAAAAAGTGAATAGGGAGGAAAAGCAGCAGGTCCCAGTGAGAACCGGACACGGAAGATAAACGGGTGACGCCAGCGAACTGCCCGAAGAAGAAAGTGGCCATAAAAGAGGACTAGAGGGGAGGGAAGCACAGAACCCTGCTCCCTTCCCCGCCCACAGAGGCGGCACTCTCCGACCGGCAGAGAGGAGGAAACAACAAACCAAAACGGCCAACAAGAACAAACGAAGCAGCAAGCGGGACTGTGAGTGGAAAGGAACTATTGCAGCCACCACACCCCGTGAACGGGAGCTGTGGAGAACCCTGCAGGATCCGCCGCGGCGGTGAGGGAACGGCTCGGGCGCCATTAGAGAAGAACAAAGACCCGGGAGACGCGCACACAGCCTGGGCTGCCGGTAAGCTGGCACGGGAAAGCGGCGCGCTCGGCGCGCTTGAAAAGCAAGTGCAGACCTGGATCGCGGCTGCCCAGGTCCCCGCGCCTGCGACCTAGGCTTGCAGGGAGACGACCTAGGCTTGCGGGGAGACGCACGGAGGTCCTCACTGAGGTGAAGGTCCCTCCCTGAGTGAGCAGGAACCAGGCGCCCAGGCACGGGAGCAGTGCAAAGGCGCCATTCCCGCGCCACTGAACTGGGCTACAGCCCGCGTCCTGGAACTGAGGGCTTTGAACTGAGACCCGGGGCACGAAAATTCGGGGCGTGGTTTCTCCACGACGGTGGGGCACAAGGCAGACACAGCACCCCAAAGCTGTTGAGGTGTACCCTACCATTCCCGCTCTGTTCTCTGTCCCACGGGATGGGGAGGCGAAAACAGCCCCCCAAGGACAATAGGAGAGATATCTGGCGCCACCTAGCGACCAGGAAAAAAAAAGTCACTAACACCCTATAAAACAGGACATTTCTTAAGACTGCTTGAAAAGGGCAGAAGGTTTCTGGAGGACCCAGTGGCCAGCCGGGAAGTTATCCACGCCAGCCCCTTCCGACCAGCAGTCTGAGCCCACAGAGGAGCAACCCACGTCCGGGGCAGACCGGGGGCGCAGAAGAGTGTGCCTGAAACCGGAGGCGCAGGGACTGCATCCCGCTTCGCCATTTGAGAACAGGGACATTTCTTCAGTAAAAACTGCCTAAAACCAGCAGAAAAGCTCCCCCAGAAGACAGAGATGGCTCCTGGAAGAGCCAGAGGGGAGCGGAGAAGTTCACCCAAGATGTCAGTCAGTCCGAGCAACACAGTGTCCCAACGCATACGACAAATTAGAAAACAGACAGTAGAGTAGAAGAACCACACGCAACCTAAAACTCCTCAGGAAAGAAGCACACCACAAAAAGAAAACCACTCCCCAGATTGCAACGACAGCGACTTGGAAGAACTTCTGAGCCTTCCAGAAGAGAATTTAAAATTGCCATGATTAAAAAGTGATAGAGCAGAAGAAGGAATTGAGTCCCTAAAGAGGGAAGTAAGAGAATGCAGGAGATCAAAGAATTAATGGAGGAACTAAAGAACTCTGGGAAAAGCAATGAAAGCAGAATAGATGAAATGGAAGAACGAATAAGTAATCTTGAAGACACAGAAATAAAAAGAACCAAAACAGAAAAGAAAGAGAAGTACGAAGGAAAAAAGAATGAAGAAAGACTTCGGGAACTATCTGACTCCATGAGGAAAGGAAAATAAGAGTTATAGGAATTCCAGAAGGAGAGGAGAGAGATGTAGGAACAGAGAAATATTCATGGATATAATTGAAGAGAAACTTCCCAAATGAGAAGAAGGAGCTGAAAATTGATATACAAGAAGCAAGAAGAACACCAAACTTCCACGACGAAAGGAAAAACACAGCAAGACACATAATAGTAAAGCTCCCAAGAATCCAGGACAAGGAAAAAATAATGAAGCTGACAAGAGGGAAGAAACAGATAACATTCAAAGGAAAACCAATCAGGCTGACATCAGACTTCTCTGAAGAAACACTACGGGCAAGGAGAGAGTGGAGGGACATAGTCAACAGACTCCAAGAAAACAGATGCAAACCAAGAATACTCTATCCCGCAAAGCTCTCTTCCTCCATGAAGAAAGAATATGGACCTTCCCAGACAAAGAGAAACTCCGGAATTTCATTGCGACTAAACCCCCACTCCAAAAAATACTACAGGAATCCTAAAGCCAGAACCTCAGAGGACGAATAACAACGAAAGAAACCAAAAAAAAAAAAGTTATTAAAAGAATAAATAAAAAATCAAAGGAAAGACAACATAATGGCAAATACAGATGCTAACATATCAATATTAACTCTAAATGTAAATGGACTAAACTCTTCAATAAAAAAGACACAGAGTTGCAGCCTGGATTAAGAAACAAAACCCAACCTTTGCTGTCTCCAGGAAACACATTTAGCTACAAAAGATAAAAATAGGCTCAAGTCAAAGGATGGAAAACAATCCTACAACCAATTGGGCCAAAAAAGAAAGCAGGAACAGCTATATATATCAGATAAAACAGACTTCAAACTCAAAAAAATAAAAAGAGACCCCAATGGTCACTACATTATGATTAAGGGGACAATACTTCAAGAAGAAATAACACTCATTAACATATACTCACCAAAGGAAAGAGCACCAAAATATATCAGACAACTGTTGTCCTCTCTGAAAACAGACATCAGAGAAAACACATATGTAGTGGGAGACTTCAACACACCACTATCAACAATGGATAGATCAACAAGACAAAAAATAAGTAAAGAAACTAAAGCTCTAAATAAGGACCTAGAGCATTTGGGCTTAACAGACATCTATAGAACACTAAACCCAAAAAAAACGGAGTACACATTTTCTCAAGCGCACACGGATCATTCTCCAGGATCAATCACATACTGGGCACAAGACAAACATCAACAGATACACCAAGATTGAAATCATACCAACCATCTTTTCTGACCACGAAGGCATCAAACTAGAAATAAATCATAAAAAGAAGGCAAGGAACTATCCTACCTCATGGAGATTAAAAACCACACTACTGGAAGACCACTGGACTAACGAGGAGATCAAAGAAGAAATTAAAAAATTCTTTGAATTGAATGACAAGGAGGACACCATATTCTAAATGTATGGGATGCAGCAAAAGCAGTAATAAGAGGAAAATATATAGCAATAGAAGCTCACATCAAAAAACAAGAAAGAACTCAAAGAAACAACCTAATCTCGAAGCTCAAGATCTAGAAAAAGAACAACAAAAACCCCAGAACCAGTAGAAGAAAAGAAATATAAAAACCAAAGCAGAAATAAATGAAATTGAAACTAAAAAAAACAATCCAAAAGATCAATGAAACCAAGAGCTGGTTCTTTGAAAAAAAATAAAATAGACAAACCCCTAGCCAGGCTCACAAAGGAAAAAAGGGAGAAAGCAAATACACAGAATCATAAATGAAAGAGGAGAAATCACAACGGACACAGCAGAAATCAAAGAATAATCAGTAACTACTATGAACAGTTATATGGAAACAAGTTCAACAATCTAGAGGAGATGGACAAATTCCTACAACTCTACAATCACCCAAAGCTAGATAAAGAAGAAATAGAACACCTAAACAGACCAATTACAAGCAGCGAAATTGAAATGGTAATTAAAAAACTCCCCAAAAAAAAAAGCCAGGACCTGATGGATTTACAAATGAATTCTACCAAACATTCAGAGACGAATTAGTGCCTATCCTTCACAAACTCTTCCAAAAAATTGAGAGGAAGGGACAATACCAAACACGTTCTATGAAGCCAATATTACACTAATACCAAAACCGAATAAGGACAACACAAAAAGGAAAAACTATAGGCCAATCTCCCTAATGAACACTGATGCAAAATCCTCAATAAAATTTAGC